ATATATATATGTTTCTTAATTTTGAAATCTATATCCAGAATACTTTTTCTCTATTTATTTAGTTTACTGTAAGTTCAAATTTGTACAGAAAGCATTTTGTACCTAGAATACCCATAAAAGACAACCGAATGTTGTCTCAGAAAATCAGGCTAAATCTGTTGGACTAAATAGGACGAGCCAATCGCACACTAAATATCCCTCGTGATTTAGGGCTAAGGACGTGAATACTAGTCCTCTGTGCCGAAAAAGATATACACCCTAAGTGAACTTGGTACTTTTGCTTTTCCAAATAAAAAGCCGAGACATCTATGAGAAATTCTAGGTTTGTTGGCGCTACCTAAACACGTGCTACACAATAAAACCTGATCTTTGCCCATCAGATCGATTCCTTACCCTAGCCCCTGACCCCATTGGTTATTGTTTACTATGACCTCCGGGGCCAAGAAAAGACGTGTTAATGTGCGAGGCGCGTAGGTCCAGGGTCATTTCGTCTCCAGAGCTGTCTGATGTTGCGTTTAAACAGCCGTCTGTAAAGACGGAATCTTGCCCTTGCCTGTCAATCCACGTCTGAAGGAAAGAGTCGACTCCAGGATGTTGTCATCTCAAACGTTTCTGTCTGTTTGTTTTGGAGGTTTTTCTGTGACACTAAAGGGTCTGTACGGTAGGTGGGGGGATCAGGATGTCAGCTCTGATTTATTTATTGATTGACTGGGTGTTTTACGGCACCATCGATTCAATTTTGGTCATGATGTCAGCTCTGAGGACCAGCGTCTTTGGTGTAGCATTCGGCGGTCGCAGTTGCATGCAGAAGACATGTGTTCAATTCCCGCTTGAGAAAATCTTATCAAGTGTCATGACCTTTCTTTTGTGACTTTGTATCCATCTAAGCCCTCGTTGGCCCTGAGAGTAGGTTTAAAACCAGTCACCTTACTGATTCAAAATGTCTTGAGAAGGGAGTTTAAAAATTACGTAAATCATCAACATGAATAGACAAACAAGCTGGGGGGAGCACGCAATTAATAAAAAAAACGTTTATCTTTACTTACTTTCAGGAAAAGATAAAAACATCGTTACAATAACTAATTAAAAAGATAGCTAGGATAACATTATTATTTTCCTATCAACCCATTTGTCTGAATCAAGAATTTTGACTTGAAGCAAACGATTCCTTTCAAAGGGTTGAGAACACAAACCATTTAGTTACTCATAGATGGGGGTGGAGACAAAACCAATTAATTCAATCTATGGCAGAATTTTTTTTCATCGTTTCTTTCTAATTTTTCCTCCACAATGGTTCTGTACCAGAGAAGTGACTGACTGTGTTGAGACGTGGCGAGAGTTAAAATTTAAATATATAAGAGAAAGAGAGGAAAAGGTTACTAAACTGTTAAGCGGAGAGGATATCTCCAGCTTTTTTATGGAAGACAGATGCTATCTTAATAGTGTCTTAGGGGCAGATAAGCAAACCTATAAAGAAGAGGCGCTATTGACTTTATGATATTCTAACTACTTTCTCCTCAAGTCTGTCCATAATATTAATTACGTCCGGACAGGCTATGTTGCCAGCTGCTCTTTTGCTTGTCTTTACATATTTCTATAGACAACCAAATCCCCTTACCTGCAAACAAAATGGGAAAAGTGCATACTTTTCCTGCTTCGTCGACAATTACAATTTGGATTTTGACCAATATTTCTCAAGCACATTCAACCAGTGCCACAAATTAAGAAACTGCATTAGTGGGCTCAATACGTCTGAACGGCTGACCACTAACGACGTGTATTATCCTGGTTTGCTCTTACTACAGCGGATCTGTTCAAGTTATCTGGGGG